TTTCTTCTATTTCCTCAATTGATATTGGTCTGTTTAGGTTGTCTATATCCTCCTGACTCAATCTGGGCAGATCATATGACTTAAGAAATTTATCGATGCCCTCACTATCTTCTATTTTATTGGAGTATAAGGATTCAAAATAATTTCTGATTATCTTCTGTATTTCTGAAGTGTCTGTTGTGATATTGCCTTTTTCATCCTGTATGCTAGTAATTTGAGTTCTCTCTCTCCTTCTCTTTGTTAGCATGGCTAAGGGTCTGTTGATTTTATTTATTTTTTCTAAGAACCAACTTTTAGTTTTGTCAATTTTTTCAATTGTTTCTTTTGTTTCGATTTCATTAATTTCAGCTCTGATTTTCATTATTTCTTGCCTTCTACTTCTTTTGCTGTTGTTTTGCTCTTCTTTTTCTAGGATTTTGAGATGAAGTATGAGATCATTTATTTGTTGGTTTTTTCTTTTTTTAAGGAATGAACTCCACGCAATGAATTTTCCTCTTAGAACTGCTTTCAATGTGTCCCATAGATTCCGATATGTTGTGTCTGTGTTTTCATTTATCTCTAAGAATTTTTTAATTTCCTCCTTGATGTCTTCTATAACCCATTGATCATTCAGTAACCTATTGTTCATTATCCAAGTGATGTATGCTTTTTCCTTCCTTCTTTTATCGTTGATTTTCAGTTTCATTCCATTATGATCAGATAAGATGCATGGTATTATCTCTACTCCTTTATATTGTCTAAGAGTTGCCCTGTGACATAATATATGATCTATTTTTGAGAAGGATCCATGTGCTGCTGAGAAAAAAATGTAACTGCTTGATGTTGGGTGGTATATTCTATATATGTCGATTAAGTCTAGGTTATTAATTGTGTTATTGAGTTCTATAGTTTCCTTATTCAACTTTTGTTTGGAAGATCTGTCCAGTGGTGAGAGAGGTGTGTTGAAATCTCCCATGATTATTGTATGGTGGTCTATTAGACTCTTGAACTTGAGAAGAGTTTGTTTGATGAACATAGCTGCACCATTGTTTGGGGCTTATATATTTATGATTGTTATGTCTTGTTGGTGTATGGTTCCCTTAAGCAGTATGTAGTGTCCCTCTTTATCCCTTTTGATTAACTTGGGCTTGAAATCTATTTTATTTGATATGAGTATGGACACTCCTGCTTGTTTCCGAAGTCCATATGAGTGATATGATTTTTCCCAACCTTTCACCTTCAGTCTATGTATGTCTTTTCCTATCAAATGTGTCTCCTGTAGGCAGCATATTGTTGGGTCTTGTTTTGTGATCCATTCTACTAGCCTGTGTCTCTTAATTGGTGAGTTTAAGCCATTAACATTTAGGGTTATTATTGAGATATGGGTTGTTCTTCCAGCCATATTTGTTTATTTATGTTACTAAACATGGTTTGTTTTCCTCTTTGATTATTTCCCCCCCTTTACTATCCTACCTCCCACTGTTGGTTTTCATTGTTATTTTCCATTTCCTCTTCCTGTAATGTTTTGCTGAGGATGTTTTGAAGAGATGGTTTTCTAGCTGCAAATTCTTTTAACTTTTGTTTATCGTGGAAGGTTTTAATTTCATCTTCCATCCTGAAGCTGAATTTCGCTGGATACTCAATTCTTGGTTGGAACCCATTTTCTTTCAGTGTTTGAAATATGTTATTCCAGGATCTTCTAGCATTCAGAGTCTGTGTTGAAAGATTAGCTGTTATCCTGATTGGTTTACCCCTAAATGTATTCTGCTTCCTTTCTCTTGTAGCTTTTAAAATTCTCTCCTTATTCTGTATGTTGGGCATCTTCATTATAATGTGTCTAGGTGTGGATCTCTTATGATTTTGCACATTTGGCGTCCTGTAGGCTTCTAGGATTTGGGATTCTGTCTCATTCTTCAAGTCTGGGAAGTTTTCTCGTATTATTTCATGGAATAGATTGCTCATTCCTTTGGTTTGGAGCTCTCTACCTTCCTGTATCCCAATGACTCTTAAGTTTGGTCTCTTTATGTTATCCCATATTTCTTGGATGTTCTGCTTATGGTTTCTTAACAGTCTTGCTGAGCTGTCTATGTTCTTTTCTAGTTGAAATACTTTGTCTTCATTGTCTGATGTTCTATCTTCTAAGTGTTCTACTCTGCTGGTAGTATTCTCCATTGAGTTTTTAAGTTGGTTTATTGCTTCCTGCATTTCTAGGATTTCTGTTTGTTTGTTTTTTATAACCTCTATCTCCCTGTATAGTTGATCTTTTGCTACTTGGATTTTTTATGTAATTCAATGTCAAAGTGATCTTTCATTGTCTGATTTTGCTGTCTAATGTCTTCCTTGAGACTCCAGATCATCTGAAGCATGTATATCCTGAATTCTTTATCTGACATTCCATCTGCTGCAGCTATTACCTCTTCTAAAGTTGAGTTGACCTGCATTGCTTGTGGTCCTTTCTTTCCTTGTCTTTTCATACTGCTCGCGTTTCTTTCTGCTTGGTGAAACTGTTGTGTATTTGAAATTTTCCCCCTATATATTTATATTGCCCTTGTATAGTTGAAAAGTCTCCCTTGCAGGGGCGGGCGGCGGCTGTGCTCCTCCTCCAATTGGGGTGATCTGTCCACCACGCTGACAGGCGGCTGGGCCTGTTCTGCTGGTCGGTCGCAGGTCTGCCTACCTTGCAGGCGCGGGAGGCGGCTCTGCTCTGCCCCTACTCCAATTGGGGTGACGTGACTACCACGCTGGCGGGTCACTGGGCCTGTTCCGGGCACGGGTGGCGGCTCTGCTCTGCCCCTACTCCGATTGGGGGTGACGTGTCTACCACGCCGGCAGGCCGCTGGGCCTGTGCCGCCAGTCGGTCGCAGGTCTGCCTACCTTGCGTGCTCAGGCGGCGGCTCTGCTCTGCCCCTACTCCAATTGGGGTGACGTGACTACCACGCCTGCGGGTCGCTGGGCCTGTTCCGGGCACGGGCGGTAGCTCTGCTCTGCCCCTCTGGCTTGATGACAAAGTGAGAGAGACTCGTGTGTTTGTGACTCACTTTCTTTACCAGGAGACCAACTTCACTATCAATTTTAAATACTATTAACTCCCTGGTATTCCCTGTGGCATCTTCTTTGATTTTACCCCCCCTGCCCTGACCATTCCCCCTAATGAAAGTCACACTGTGGTCAATTATGTTATTCATTTCATTTTTTTCCTATATGGTTTCACCACATGTGTATTTTCTGCAAACGATTATTAAATAATAGATTATTAAATCTATTATGAAGTGAATTCATATGGCGTATAAGCTTCATTCAACTCTGCCAGGGTATAATAAAGGTGTTTGGAGCTGAGACATCTCAAGGCTTAACTGAGAGAGAATCTGCTAATAAGCTCAGGCACAGGGCCATTGACAGGATTCAGGTGCTCCTTGGCTGTTGACTAGGAACATCAGTCTTTGGACCTGCAGGCCTTGCTGTTGAGCAGTTCACTGCATAGCAGCTGGCTTTCCCTGGAATAAATAAGAAAGAAAAGAAGAAAGACAAAGAAAGAAGTCAGTGTCCTTTTTATAGCCTAATCTAGGAAGTGACATATTGCTGTATTCTACTTGTCAGAGACAAGTTGCTAGATCCAGCTCACACTCAAGAGATTAGGAATCGGAGGGACACAGACATCAGAAAGTGGGACTCATTGGAGAATGTCTAGGAGGCTGCCATCTGCAAACTGTAGTGCAGTAAGGGAGGGAAAGAGGAAGTGGGGGCATCAGTCAAAGAAGGAAAATTTACTTCTTTTTAGGACAGGTGGAAAATAAAGTATTGGTGAGTATTTAGGTAGAGCTCCATCTGAAGTTACATGTTGAACTGAGGCTCAGGTATCAGGTTGGAATGGAGGTAGAGAGACTTAGGCATCTTTAGTTTGTCAATGGCAGTTTAAATCATAAGGATAGAAACAAATATCATGCAAACAAAGTGTGAAGGCTGAAGTGAGCACCAATAAAGACAAATGCAGAAAAGAGAAATGGGATGACCAGAAAAAGGCAGAAGGAGCATCACAAGGGAGAACCACAGAAACCAAGAATGAGAAGGTTTCAGGAAGAAGAGGACAGAAGCTATCAGTGTCAGCAAGTGCAGGGAGGTTGGTAAAGATGATTATTGGAAAGCATGCACTGACTGGGAAATTAAGAGCCACTGGGGGACTTGAGTGAGATGGTTTGGGTGGAAAGGTGGAAATGGAAGACAGATACTTTGGTTGAGGGTGGAATATAAGCCAAGGAAATAGAGACACTGATGAATTTGGACTACCATTTTTGAGAAGGCTTGTCTGACTATCATGTTACACTCACGGCTATTTAGGAGGGATGAGAAATTTCCATTTTGCCAATAACCATCCAATAAAGGACTGAGTTTTAACATGTTTCCTGTTATTCCCTATATGTCAAAAATGATTCTTGAGCATATACTTGTTCTTATGCTCTTTAAAAATGGCGGATTATTTCCACAGTTGCTGATCATATGAAATGCATTTCCCATCACCAATCTCATAAATATTCAGCTATTGTACCTTTCCCCAAACAGTCAGAGATTTATTCATTATATTGAATTGCAATCTCACCCTTCCTTTCTGTTCCTTTGTAAAGAGAAAGATAATATTTCGGCAGTTTTTGCAATGCCCCAGCCTGGAGGGAATGCAAATATAAGCATAATTGATTTTTCTGAACTTGCTTTTCCCCCCTTATGTTCCAGTGCTTTATGCATTATAGGTGGAATGACTGACAAATCAGCCCTGATTGCTAATTAGAAAGCAGAATATATTAGAATCATAGCACATATATCCAGTTTGTTCACAGTGCAAACCCTGGAAATGTGAAGCTTCTCAATGCTCTAGTGCTTGTTGTCTAATTACCTGCTCTTTTGCTTTGACTCAACCTTTCAGGAATCACATTCGCTGAGTATGACGGGTCAGGGGTGATTGCTAATTAAATGGTGGAATTCACTTTGCCCCACCTTGACTCATTTTTCCTTTCCCTTCCCCTCTGAAGTGACACCTTTCCACAAAAAGCATTTCTTCCCTTCCTGAGTTGGCTGAATAATGAAGACGGGTATTCTTATCACTGTTTGAAGCCAAGATTCTCAAGGTAATTTTACTTCAAGGATTGAAGAAACAGGAATTCCACTCTCTTTCTAATTTCTGGGACAAAGGGTAAGTGTGTGTGTGTGTGTGTGCGTGTGTGTGTGAGAGAGCCCATAGTGGGCAAGGCAAGATTCAGCCACTGGCCCAGGAAAGGGAGGCCATCTCTGCCTTTGTGTTTGAATGAGAGTTCTCTATTCACACCAGGACATCTGCGGGCACCTGCAGGCTGAAAAGTAAAAATTGATTTCCTTTCACCTTCCCACTAATCTGAATGTCACCTCAGAATCTCCCGGGATTTAATTGATCTATGACAACTTCATGGCAACCACAGCCTCCCATTGAATGATTAAGAATATTAATGAGTTTGGAGGCAACTGACAGCAGTGAGAGGTGGGGATCTGCTTCGGTGGGACCTTGTCATTGAGCGTCTGAATGGAGCTTGATTCTCACCAGTGCTTGACAGTCGTTTCTCCTTGTTATTCAAAGGTGGCTTGGAAACATCATAGAAGGCTAAACCACATGAGATTGCCAATATTTGTGTGCTTTTGAACTTTAAAGATGGTATTTTGGTAAGGTTGAGACTAATAAATAGTAGCTACTGTCAGAGAATGGAAGATTGAAACCTGCAGAGATGAAATAAATTCTGAGTTCCCATCAAGACCCTTTGTCCTTATAATGAATGGATTAGTAAAGTCACTCGTTTATTTATCGACAGAACATTTGTTGCATTTCCATTCTTCACTACTTAATTACCCAGTAGGCAGATTCGTCATGCATGTAAGGCCCTGTAAAATAGGGTGTTATATTGTCTGTAATTTAGTTTGAAACCATCCAGCATAGAAAGTATGATACATATGTGTGTATTTAGTTAGTTTAACTTACCTCCAGGGGCAACTTGCTAATATTTGCTAATATTTGAAGTACCTTAATCAGAAATACACACTCCAGGGAGGTTAGTTAGCATTTGAAAGACTTTCATCAGGTAGTTACTATAAATGTTTAACTCTCAGTCATCTCAATTAGCTCTAGAGGGTTTATTAACTAGCCTGAGGGATGCTAGCAATAATTTTATATTAGTGAAATAAGTCCTGTTCAAGATAAAGTATGTTGGCTAGAAATATGCACAGGCAACACTACCCTGGCATGATCAAAATGTAAGTATCTAGGTGCTCTTGACTCAGGGCTCTGATTCCATTGAAAGATTGGCTCCCTCCTGTGACAAGGAGGTGTTTCTATTCGCCTCTGGTGAGCTTTTCATACAGAGCTCCTGTTGCAGTGTTCACAGGTGCAAAGAAAGCTGGATCCATGGAGCCTATAGCACTGGTTCTACAATTGCATGTGACTGGATTTGTTTTCAGAATAAAATATTCTGACAGCAGTTAGAGGCTGCATGGGGGTGGGGGGTGTTTAGCAACTGGAGAGAGAACGGAGAGAATGAGACCAGCTAGGGAACTCTGCTAGCTACATAACCACGAAGCTCTGAGCTAAGTTGCGGCAGCATGAGCAGATGGAGTAGAGAATATAGATTGAAAACGTTTACAAAAGAAAAAGAAATGGATTTGCTGAATGGATGGAAATGGAAAGAGGATGTGTTGATGAAGAGAGAGTCATGAAGATGGCTTCCAGGGTGCCTGTTTTTCATGGTGCCATTTTACTAAAATAGAGAACTAAAGGTAGCAAGGAGGGTGGGGACCAGTAGGGAGTAAGCTACTTTTGAATAGACAAATGTGAGATGCTTAGAGGACATTCAGGTAATCATCCAATAAGGAGATGTATAATATGCATTCATACAAGTACACAATACCATATTTGTATAGTATGTATACACACATGTACATATATGTATTTGAGTGTCTGGGGCTCAAGAAGGAGAGCTGGAGATAGCTATTTAACGCATTTAGCAAACACATATTAGGTGTTTCCTATGCTCTAAACCAAGATTGGTGTGAATCTTGTCCTCATTATGATTTTATTATTTTGGTAGACTCAATAAAATGGGAGCATTTGAAGTCTTGAGGATGAGGTCATCTAGAGGGCATATAGAACTGAAATTTCAGAAGCTGGAGTCCAGGTATGGTTCACATTTAAGGTACAGAAGGAAAAAGGATGAATGCTATAGATATCATGTGAATGAAAATGGGAAGGATTAGCCAAATCAGAGAAATTTCATCAGAGAATGATATCAAGGAAATCAAGGTACACAAAAGTTTCAAGGAGGAAATGATGAATGTTCAATATTGTGGATATCAATTAAAATAAGGAATTGAAACATCCTTGACTGCCATGATCTGAAAGGTGAGGGGCAGAAATTCTCTGTCTAGTCAGGCCAGTGGACTTGCTTCACAGACCTAGCTCCCCTCCCAGGGGGCAGCCCAAGTCTGTTCTTAGAGAAAGAAGCAGGGGCCCTACCTGGCAGTACCCCAAGCCACATTTGCTAGCCCCGTGCTGGAGCCATAAAAGTGCTATTTTGATGTCCAATTCCAAAACCCTTTAGAGATACACCAATGAGAACAGGTTCTTGTAGTGGTTTGAAGGCTTAGGCCTGAGGAGAGAAAGAAAAGCTCTGGAGTAGCAATGAGCAACCCTCAGGGTGAACCATAGAGGGACAGACAGTAAGATGCCTCAAGTCGGGGGGCTCTGGAGAGAGGTTGCTATGTTCTGCTTTCTGCTGTATGTGGCGAGGGGCAGAACTCTAAGACAGTGACTGTCAGGGAAATTAAGCAGGGTAACAGAATCCAAAATGAGAGGCTAAAATGACAAAGGAGAAAAGAACATAAACTATTAATTTCAAACTTGTTCATCTTAGGAAAACGAGGGCCCTGGTGGCTTTCTCTGATTTGAGAAGCGCTGGCTTCTCTAGCACTGGCCTATTGTGTGAGCATCAGGCAGACAGAAGGTAGCTGTGCACATTCCTGCTGCAGGGAAGCAAAGGGGAGTGGCGCCTTGACCAGAGGGGCCCTGTCATCTCTATTGGAGTCCTGGCAGGCCACTTTATAGAGGACATGGTTCCAGGAATGACATTCCATTACAAATGAGTCAGCATTTCTGGGACTGTCACAGTCTTACTGGAAGTACTACCTTATCTTCCTGAACAATTACTTTCAGGAAATATGATGGGGAAAAAAATTCAAAGCTCTGACTTCTCCAAATTTACTCCTTATTTTTTCAAAATCTTGGTAGAGTTGTTCATACTTAAAGGCTGTTTTTTCCATTAGAAAAGTACATGTGGAGTCTGTTGGCAATTAAATGCTGCCAAATCCAACCCCAATACCAAAGATGAGACACTACCTAGTCTGGAGCTAAAAAATACAGCTTCTAAGGTCGGATAGACTCGGACATAAGTTCCATATCTAGTTCATCAGCTGTGTGACCTTGGACAAGTTACTTAGTCTTTCTGAGATTCATATTCCACAGCTATATAAGCAAATAAAAACAACAAGAATGTTGTAAAATAAAATATACGATGTGTTTTAGAAGAAGTAATTTGCTCAATAGCCAATAGAGTTCCTTCCTTCCTTCCTCTCTCTCTCTCTCTCTCTCTCTCTCTCTCTCTCTCTCTCTCTCCCTTCTTTTCTCTCTTTCTGAATTTGCTTGAATTGACTGGTTATTTTGAAGTGACATTTGTTTAGAGCCTATCATAAACAAAGTTCCCTATTATACAGAATAACTAGGCTCAGTGTCTCACCCTATAATCCCAGTAACTCTGGAGGGTGAGGAAGGAGGATAGCAAGCAAGTTCAAGGCCAGCCTCAGCAACTTAGTGAGGCCCTGTTTCGAAACCAGAAAGAAAAAGGACCAGGATGTAGTTCAGTGGTAAAGTGTCCCTAGCCTAAGAAGAAAGAAAGAAAGAAAGAAAGAAAGAAAGAAAGAAAGAAAGGAATCCCCAATATAAATGCTGGTAAATAACATCTTTAAAAATATTTACACCAATAGTTTAATAAAGAATTGGGGTGACATTGATGCAGGAGGGATTTAGATCAAAGTGCAGCAGAACACAATTTCAAATCATAGTGAAATGCCATATTGTCATCATAAAGGGGGTCAGTAAAAACCTTCACATGTTTTTAAAAAACAATAATTCATGATTATTTTGGGGTGATTAAGTGCTAGAAAGTGATGAGGTCATTCTCATGGTCTCATGTTATTCTTCTATACCTTTAGAGAGAGCCTGGCTACATCCATATTTTGGGGGCACCAGTGTATTTACAGATGGAGGAAGGGTGAGGCTCTCAACAAAAAGTGTTTTAAACTGTGGCATATTAAATATGTGTGCACATATATGAATGTATACCAACGTATCTATTCATTATGATGAATTAATTTTTTCAGTAGAGGAGATAAATTTATCTCATTCTCTTCTTACCTAATTGTCCAGTTTGTTTTGACTATTGGACAGTTGTCATCTCTTCAGACCCCAGCATTAGGAACTCACATCCTTTGGATAGGTTAAAAAAAAAAGGAATATATTTATTCTTGTTTATTTATTATTATTTCTTAACTGCTAAGAAAGAAATTGTCGAGGTTTAAGGGGTGATAATAAATCACACTTCTTCCCCTTCCACCTTTGGAATCAGTTGAGAAATAGAAGCAAGCAATGGGAAGGGGACATCAAAATAGCACTTTTATGGCTCCAGCATGGGGCTAGCAAATGTGGCTTGGGGTACTGCCAGGTAGGGCCCCCGCTTCTTTCTCTAAGAACAGACTTGGGCTGCCCCCTGGGAGGGGAGCTAGGTCTGTGAAGCAAGTCCACTGGCCTGACTAGACAGAGAATTTCTGCCCCTCACCTTTCAGATCATGGCAGTCAAGACAGAGAGATTAGGGCAGTTCTGAAGAAGGCCATCACCCAAGCTTCCTCTGTAGGTATGGCTCTTCCTCCCGCCTCAGCACCAGTCAGTGCTGAAAAGCCAAGTTTTATCGTCGGAGATTAAAATGCACACACACAGATAGCAGTGACAAAGATGAAGCACTTTACTGCAAGCTGGTGCTAGCTTATAAAGAAAGTGAGAGTCAGTTATCTTTAACCAGGAAGCCCCCGGGGCCAATCATAGTAAAGGTCAGGTCATCACCTAT